GTGCATAATATTAACACACAATTTACTAAAAATTTAGATTCGAAATATACAGTTTTAATAAATTGTGTGTTAATATTATGCACTCCTTATTCGGAATAACTTTTGTTTTATTTTTGCTGAAATTATCAGCCGGAAAAGGATTCTGGAAAAACTTCCGAATAGCTCATGAAACATCTTACAAGATATCCGTTACTTACGAACGTGTAAGCAAAAAACTTCAAGCTGCCGAACATGCACTGAAATTCCTGATTCAATGCCGTGATGAAGACATCTCTCCGAAATTCACGCGCTGGAAGAATCTACGAAAGCTAGAGCCAAGAAAGAAAAAGAAACGCTTCAGGCAAATTCTTTTCGAAGAAATTAAAAACAAGCATAAGCGGATAAACCAACTAAAACGAGAGAAGGTCGAAGCGGAAGAAAACCTGAAAAACATAACATGGATGAAACGCTGCATTGTTAAATACATCATCAACAACTACTTGAAACGCGAAGAACAAGTAATTCGTAAACGACACGAAAAGAAAATGCAAAATTTACGACGAGAGAAACGACTTTACGATGGTACTCGCGCAAATCCCAACAAGATAATTGTTAATTTAACGGACACTCAATTAACAAACGATCAATACTCTGCACTTCAGTATGGTTTGAAATACGGTATTGCATCACAACCGAAAGATTCCGACCTGATTTTGATGACCTTATTTTTTATCATAATGCACTATTTATGTATGACTTTCATACAGGTCGACTTCCTCACGTATTTGATGAGTATTTTGCATTAGTAAGCCAAAAACATAACTATAACACCAGACTTGCTTCGAGATCGTCATACTCCCTTCCAAAAGTAAGAACCAACTATGGAAAATTTAATATACGTTTTGTTGGCAGTAATGTGTGGAATTCAATTGACGAAAATCTTAAGGGTCTTTCTAAATCACAGTTTAAACACAAACTTAAAAATAATATATTGAATTCATATTAGCTTATAGCATCAAAATTGTCCATTTTGAAATCTTTATTGCATGTGTTTTATTTATTCAGTTTACCCACTAAAATATATTTTGTTACTAATCAAATTCGCTGACTGTCTCGATTAGCCTTTTGGTTATTACAGTTAGCTAGTACCTTCTTTTCGTAACTTTATCTTTATTTTATATTTATGTATGTATTACTACCGGTACTGAATAAAATTGTATTGTATTGTATTGATTGCATCTGCTGAAAGTATTTGGGAACAAATTAACAAGAACGGTTGGCTAAAGAATGGTTTTACTACAGTTGAACGAGCAAAAAACAGCTTACGTGCCTTCGTTTTCAATGTCCTTGACTTCGACAATCCACGCATCCGCAAAGACAACCGGAAGATCAAATGTATTAAAGACATCCTCGAAGATAATGTCATCCTCAAACCAGATAAAGGAGAAGGCGTTGTAATAATCAGTCGCTCTGATTACACAACATCGATGGAAACATTGTTCTCCAACCGTAAGCGTTTCCGTGTAATCAAGGAAGATCCAACACCTACCAGATTAAGCAGCGTCCAGAGATACCTACGGAAACTCCTTGAACGTGGTGAAATTGACGAAGCAACATTTCAAACCATCCGACCACAAGCAGCGAAACCGGCACGAGCCCACGGATTACCTAAAATCCACAAGAAGTTCGACACGATACCAAAATTTCGTCCGATAGTATAGATACAACGGGAACAACCCACTACGGAATCGGTAAATTCCTGAGTCATTTACTGCATCCGTTAACAACAAAGGAGCACACTATTAAGGACACGTTTGACGCAAAATCCCGAATTGAATCAATTGATCCAGCACACTTCCAACAAGGATTTAAATATGTATCTTTCGATGTCGAATCTCTATTCACCAATGTTCCTCTCGAAAGAACAATCCAAGTCATCGAAAAACGCATTTACGATGATAAAGAATTGCCAACTAAATTAAAGAGATCTACTCTACGAAAGCTAATACGTGACACTTGCAAGAAGACTGTCTTCAGCTGCAATGGTCCAGTGATGGCGAACATTATCCTAACCGAATTTGAGCGCATTGTAATTAATCCTCTAATTAATAGCGGCATAATTAAATTCTATTGCCGATATGTAGATGACACACTACTACTAATCAAACATGACGACATTGATTTCCTTCTGAACGAATTCCACTCTTTTGACCGTAATATACGTTTCACCTATATGACGTATTTTCAGACGAACCACCACACTTTCTAGATCTTAACCTAGATGGCAACAAGTTTTCCACATACCGAAAACATACTTTTACAGGTCAATACACTCACTTTGACAGTTTCGTACCATGGAAACATCGTATTGCATGGATTCGCTCTCTTCTTGGTCGCATTAACAAAATCTGTTCACCCACGAAACTAGCCCAAGAATTGCAATTTCTTAAGAAAATTGCGTCATGGAATGGGTATCCTAAACGTGTTGTCTTTTCACTCATAAAACGCTTTAACCAAAACACAACAAACGACCAAGATAATAACACGACAGAATCGAACGAAACTAGACCGACGCTTTGGCTAGAAATGCCATACATTGGGACGAAAGGCGAACAACTTGTACGTGCACTCAAGAGGAAACTATTACGTTGTCTCAACATTACGAACGTGCAGATTAGGACGAGAGTAACAACAACTAAACTAAACTTGTTTACGAACGCAAAAGACAAAGTACCTAAACAAAACAAATCCAACGTTGTATACCAATTTACTTGCCCTAAATGCAACAACAGCTATATAGGCAAGACTGACCGAACGCTTCTAGAACGGGTAAAGGAACTGATGCGTACAAAGACAAGGAAAGTGCTGTGTACAAACACTTAGACTGCCGCTACGACAAAACATTCTTAACATCACAATCTAACACACAACTGACAGAACTTGTACTCTCAAACACTAAGATCATTGATTCTTCCAGAAACTGGAATTTATTACTATATAAAGAAGCGCTACACATTAAAAGACGTAAATCAAGTCTTAATAATGGACTAAAAGCTAGTAGAGAACTACAGTTATTTAATTAATTAACGTGCGCTGGATGAAAGAACTACGTGAACTGCTTCATCACGAATAAACGCTATTGATTGCTTACGCACTTTTGCGCACGCCAGCTTGTTTAAAATTGCTCACGCTTGTAAATATAACGACATATCTTGCAAAACACTGCTGAAGATGACTGGCTGATTTAGATTCGAAATATACAGTTTTAATAAATTGTGTGTTAATATTATGCACTCCTTATTCGGAATAACTTTAGTTTTATTTTTGCTGAAATTATCAGCCGGAAAAGGATTAATTCAGTTTAATTGTAAGCAAATGGTCAATGTTTCAACAAGAGCCGACCAGACTCTGGACCTGGTGATTACCAACTTACAGTCATTTTACGAGAAGAATTCCGCAGAGAAATATCCTTGGCCTCTCTGACCACAACGTAGTTATCGTGAACCCAAAGAAAAGACGACCCAAATCTTGTAGCCGAATAATTGTAACAATCAGGGACACACGCCTTGGTAAAAAGCGTGAGCTTGGTAGATATTTAACATCTACTGAATGGTCTATTTTAAATGGGGTCGAAAGTTGCGAAAATAAACTTCAGCTATTTGTCGATCTTGTTCTTCTCGGTATCAGCTGCATTATGCCCATTAGAAAGACTGTCACTCCATATAAATGACCCTCCATGGATTACGGCTGAATTCAAATATTTTCTCAAGTACCATCGCAATCGTGTTAATCGTGAACGTAAAGTATGTCGTGAGAAATTCTATTCGTCAAAAGTCGAACATCTTAAAAGGACAAAACCAGGTCGGTGGTGGAAAGAGGTGAAACATATCGCTAGTATGTTACCTGCTATTGGATCAGAGGATTTATGCAAACAACTCGATATGGACAATATCCATGATATGTCGCCTCCTGATATCGCCAACCTAATTAACAATGCGTTTTTTGAACCCATGAAAATTTACCAGCCACTTGCTTCTCTGCCCACTTCTCAACCAACCGACTCCTGTCTTCGACTCAACGAACGAGAAGTGTATGAGGCTGATCATGTTGCACTAAAACCCGGAAAAGCGTGTGGACCCGATGGTGCCCCGAACTGGTTTCTTAATTAAAGATTACGCAGAGGTTCTTGCCCAACCTGTTTGTGCGATATTCAACAGCAGTTTTGCATAACAACAACTTCCTCCATCTTTATTTATTTATTTAATAAATAAATAAATAAATAAATTTACATTTATTTATTTAATTTAAATAAATAAATAAATTTTTGTTTTATTTTTATTATTTATTTTATTTTTTAATAAATAAATTTACGTGGTGTTTCCACAAACAAAACTATTATATTACAATAATTTGAAGATTTTGGGCTAGAGACCTACTAGAAATCTTCATAGACTTTTTATTTTAGGTCTCTAAATATATAAGTCCTGCAATTTTGAGCGAAATCGATCCCGATGAATTTTGTGCGATACCTAATAAACATTAGAGTTGTTCTTTTCGATTACAAAAAAGCGTTCGACCTCATAGACCATACCTTATTTGCTGAAAAGATCTCCAGATTACCTATGCCTGCTGCAATTGCACGTTGGACAATCGATTTTTTGATGAATCCGAGCAGAGAGTCAAACTTTCCAACGATTGTACGTGTTTCTGAGTAGGGCGAAGTTGCCTCAGGCGTCCCACAAGGCATGCACAAAACTATCTAAACAGTATCCCTGATATTTCGAAATGGAAATATGTTGATGACACCACCGTTGCTGAAGTTGTTTACAGAGGAGAAAGTAGCCAAGCTCAAGACGCTGTTGTGGCCGTAGAAGAATGGTCAAGAATTAATAGGCTCAAACTTAATGCTGAGAAATGTAAGCAACTTAGATTTGACTCTAAGTCGTGCCAACAGATTTTTAATCCTGTGGTGGTTTATAGTGAACAATTACCCGTGGTTAGAAATGCCAAGATATTAGGCCTCGTTATTTCAAGTACCCTTCAATGGAATGATCACATCAACGAAATCATAAAGAAGGGCAATAAACGCCTTTATTTCGTCGTAAAAGATAAAGACATTGTGAACTTTTACTGTACTGTTATCAGGCCCATTTTGAAGTATTGTGCACAAGTCTTTCATCATTCGCTTCCGAAGTTCCTATCTGACGATCTTGACTAGTTGTGCAGAAACTGCCTCCTCCGCAGGCCCTTCGTTGGGCACAGTGCAGTGCAATTGCAATCTATATAGATCAGTGGCTGTGAAAGAATTTTTTCTCGTTTCCCTCTCCCCCCTTTGAAAGTGACTGGGGACGAAGTAGGTGCAGAAACGTGTGTTAAAGATTAGGGACCATTCATTATTTATTACCGGGGGTGGGCTAGCAAAAAAGGGGGGTCACCTAAAAATATTAGTTCAGAAGGGGGGTCCTGTTATTTTATTATAGTGCGGGAAAATTTGACATGTAACGATTATTGCTACCGCAGGGAGCTAGCAGGACAGCAAATTTAATTCATGTACTGTAACTGGCAAAATTCTCAATTCTAATCAACAGATAACAGATAGTGGTGGTGGTGGTGTTACTATTTTTTTAGAATTCATGTGAAGGGGGTCATTGAATTTTTTTGTGATGCAGGGGGCAGGACATTTTGTTTAGTTGTTAATTGAATTTTGCCAGCCCACCCCCGGTCATAAATAATGAATGGTCCCTTAATTATCTCTCCTGGAGCTAGAGTCATAGATCAGCTACTAGAACATTTTACCTTGCTGGCACTGCTTCAAAGACGCGAAGAAATGTGCTCAAAACTTTTTAATAACGTTATAAATGATCTGTCACATAAATTACACTATTTACTGCCTCCTAAACACGAGGCTATGCATGATCTAAGAAGTAACTAACTTTTCAATATGTTCCAAATTAATACGAAAAGATTTCAAAAAACCTTTATTCCTTCAATGTGCAATAGTTTTCATTAGGTTTTCAACCAGGCCTGGTTTTCAACGTATATATTGTAAATTTTTCAGATATACTTGTAATTTTAATAATGTAATATGTCTACTGTTCATGCAGCTGCTGGCTGCGATGATCTATCTGTCTATCTTTAGCTTCTGAAATGAAGGAATTTATCCGCCAGCGAGTTTGGGATTTTTTGCGCTATATGTGCAGTTTCATTGGTTGACGCACGTAATTTAATCTGTGTCAATTGCTATCGGATACAACAGAAATAATTGCTGCCGCAGCGAGCGAGCCTGAAGCGAGCGAGCAAGGCAGCAGATCCTAATTTTGTTTTGTGGGTCGAAATCAAAATTTTCTATTTGGCGCATTGCATGACGGTACCAGTGAATTTTAACCGTGGTGCAGCGCGCTCAGGCATAAGGCAAACAGGCAATGTGATCATGTTTCATCTTTGGTCTTCTTTTAGGACTTTTATGGAAAGCCATAGCTGGCTTAAAGTGATCAAACGGCATTTTGTTGGGTGCTTTTAGCATTATACGGCGGTACTTTCGGCATTATACACGGTGCTTTCGCCATTATACGCGGTGGTTCCAGTATTATACGCGGTGCTTTCACCATTTATATACGCAGTGGTTCGAGCACTATATGCGGTGCTTTTAATATTATACGCGATGCTAGCTTTCATTCAACATTATTTCCATATTCTTTCCATATGATTTAACGATTGCTTAAATTTGGTATGTGCATGGTTGACAAATGCTTTTTGCCTATGGTCTGCAAGGACAATGACATGCTTTTCTGTGTATATACATGTAAATGAATATAACGCAGCGAATGCGCCAAACAGTATAAACGCGGCTGAAATATGATATTAAAATCATAAGCCGTATGATTTAATTATGTTTTAGGATTTACAAATGCTTTGTCATTTGTATTTATACTTGTACTGCATCACAAGGCAGTACGTACTGTAAGTGAAAAAACTCCACATGTGAGATTGTCTTGTATATATTTTTGCTTTCTTTGATAAACACTATTAAACACGCAAATTTTAATTAGTGAGACGCAATGTTAAATGTCACCTGCATGTCATTGTCATTGCCCTTTAACCCCTGGTCTAATTGGCCGCTTTTGAAAATGTCAGATCATGACGAACCGCACTAGGATAAAACGCGGATACGGACGGACGGACGGATGGCGACGGACGGATGACATATATGTGTCATTATATAGTCTGCGCGCAGGGTAGTTAGTGGCTTACGTCTTCGCTGGTTGTTATACTTTAAAATAATTTTGTATATACCGAGAAATCAATATTCGAGTATATAAATATATAAACTGGGATGTCACACTGATAGCTTGTTTACATTTCCTGGAGCATCATGAAATCTTATGTTCAACCACGGTGGTTTAACCCATTAGCTGGCAATGCGCCCTTCCCTTGTCCAACGCCAGA